TGGCAATCAGTCCTAGTATTTTGTGAAACTTTTCATTTATACGATCATTTGAGCTTAAGTTTCTATTTATGATTACCCCAAGGTCTTTTTCCCTGTCAGCTGTGTTTAACCACTAGCCGCCGGGTGGCATGTGTGTACATGCCATGGCTGTTGTGGACAGACGGAGTTTGTTTTTCTCTGATAGTAGTAGCTTCATTTACATGGTAAAGATTTTAGGCAGTAACACCTATAATGAAGGTAAACCTTCAAATTTATAATATTTTTATAAATTAAAGCAAGATAAAAGCTTTTAGGTGCCAAATGTCGCTCGCAAATGAGCCGGGCGCAAACGGGAAACTGCCGATGTGCGCCAACAATCCTGTTATCACGTTTGCCAAACTTTTTTACCCCCAGCGACATGGGTAATATATTGTCTAAATTTTTGTATCTGCACTCCAAACCTGACTGTGTGGCATTTATTGGTATTGAATTCTATTTTCCATGTACAACTCCACGTGAATAAGTTCTCAATGTCACTTTGGAGGCATTGGCATGAAGTGTTGTCTATTATCCTTTTTTTTATCTTTGCATTGTCCTTTATTTCCTTTTTTATCTTTATCAAAAACATATTCAAATAACTGGGCTTATGTTTGACTCTAAATCATTGACGAAAATTGTAAACATGATTGGCGCCAGCACTGATGTTTGAGGCACTCCGCTGGTTACTCATCGCCATGTAGAATGCTTGCCTCTAATTACTGTGCTCATTTGTCTTTCATAAAGAAAGTGTGTGTGTGTGTGTGTGTGTGTGTGTGTGTGTGTGTGTGTGTGTGTGTGTGTGTGTGTGTGTGTGTGTGTGTGTGTGTGTGTGTGTGTGTGTGTTTGTTTGTGTATGTGTGTGAAAAAAGGGCAAAGCATGTTTATATTGCTGATCATTTTTCAGTGCAGTTTTTTTGTTTCAAGCCATCGTTATCCAAAATCACAGAGGCCTATGGTAGATGTAGATAAAGAATAACACTTTATAAAGTGATATTTGTCCTTCTCTTTTCATTCTTTTACTTCTTTAAGAAAATGTCTCTCTTCCTCTGATTTTTATTATATCCAGAAAGTGAAGTCTTACTGAAATATTAATATTTTTCTCTCCCCTTCCTGCAGGGTCTCCACCTAGGAATGCCCTTCATAAATAATAGATGAGAAAACCCCATTCTCCCAGCTGACCCTTCATCGCCTTGGAGCTGCGGACGTGCCAAGGACGATGAACTCCCAGAAGGAACACCCAACCTAGTCACTTCCCGACCCTTCCTCTCCCTCCAGGCAAACCTTGTCAACCTCGGTAACATCCTCCCTTCTACCCCATCCCCCATCCCCCCCCCTACTCTCTACACTGGATTGTCATCCTGAAACTGAATCATTCCCAGCCCAGTAACCTCAAGTGTCTGGACCAAGCATCGAGGAAAGATACCTCGCGCTCGTTGGGTTGCTCTCGCCACTCCCCTTTTTTTATTGTACTCTGAACTTTTGTTGCTCTTCGCTATTTGTTGTGATTGGATGTAGTGTTCTTGTCAAAAGTTTTTTGTGTTTGTTTGTTTATTTATTAATCATCCCCTTCTCATATATTTTTTTCCTTTTTTTTTCTTTTTTTCTTTTACTCATATCTCCTTCCTCCCTACATTCTTATTGTTGAGCATTCCTTTATGTGTGTTTGGTTGTTTTATGGTTTGTAGAAAAAATTCAAAGTTTTATGAATCTAGTCAACTTTTGTCTTCTATAAGTTCTTTATAGATGTTTTATTTTTATAATTTTATTTAGATGTTATGGTCACTTTAGAATATCCTTGTGTTATACATGATGGAAAAGTTACCCAAAGTTCCCTCACGGTCCAACTCTCCTGTCAAGAGTGGCCGCAAGGGGGACCACAAAGTACAGTTTTCTGACCAGTCTGACCTCCGACTCAGAGGTCAGAAAGTTTGTGGTAAGCCCCCTGAAGTCCCTCGGGCACCACCATACAGCCGGAGTAGCAGTAGGCTCAGTGGAAGTAGCAGTGTAAGTAGCAGCAGTAGCTGCTCCAGTAATAGTAGGCTTAGTAGCGGTGGTGGTAGTAGTTCTGCTTTGGATCGCCCCTGTAGTCGAGGTGGGGACTCCACAAAATGGACATCCTCTCTGGACCGTAAGCGTTCAGGTTCGCTTAGAAGCAAGACCTCTGAACGTCAGCCAAAAAGTGACATTAACAGGAGCCATTCACTAGACCGCAGAAGAGCTGAAAGCTCCCGGCGTGAAAGTGCAAGCCCAAGTCACTCCAGCACAGAGAGAAAGAGGAGGGACTGCGAAGGCAAAGATAGTCAGAACAAGGAGAAGAAACCCAAAACAAAGACCACAGGAATCTCTCACAGCAGGAGCTACTCGGGGGAACGTCCCAGGCTTCCCAACAGACAAAAGTTAACCCCACCCACTTTGAGTCAGAACTGGAAGAATGATATATCAAAAAAAGAGAATCTAATAGAACAAAAAGTTGGTCTTCATGATGATGACAAAACCACCAGCAAGTCCCTGGGGAACATCCCTATGGAGTGGGCTGAGCGCATGAAACGCTCAACTTCACGGAGCCCTCAAAGGAGCCTCAACATGGGAGATGGACATGTCAAAGAGGACAAGGAAAATGAGAAGAAAGAAAAGACGAAAGGAGACCACAAGGCTTCAGATAAAAAGGAAAGAGGAAGATCACTAAAGAGGGAAAACAGAAGCAGCAAATCAAGCACAAAGCATAAACAGTAAGTAGGTCTTCTATCTCTTTTCACTTGTTTTTGCTCCATGCAAAAGGTACTATAGTAGTAAAGTGTCAGATAAAAGTCTTCATGACTCTTTTACCAAATGTTTGGGCTCAAAACTTTTTCTTTTATTAAACTAAGGCATATAAACGAGGAATCATGAAAAATCCTGATGTTAAATGTCAGCTGTAAGTTATATATTTGTTGTAAGAAATTCTCATGACAGTTGCAAGGAGCTGACTGTTTGTTCTGCATATAATTAAAAAGAAAAGAGAGAGAACTATATTAACTTGGGGAATGATACAGTGATTATGATGTACGAGTACTTTTGTTTATGAGGAACATTTAACCTGCGACCATTTCAGTGATGATGTAATAACAATTGATGGAGATGTAATGTGGATGGGCAGTGGTAGCAGAAAGACCGGCTACTTGCTGTTCAACTACGCTAACCTGGAAGATCCTCCCAAAGATCTCACTGCCAAGAAGTACACAATGTCCTACAAGTTTTCACAGGTAATTCTTGGTGTTGCGTGCATAGATCTTCAATGTTGATTTATATATGAACTATGTTTTGAAATTATAATTAGTAATATCTTTAGCAAGTTGGCTTACCAGCTGATTGCTCTATTGAATCATTGCAGTGATTTGACAGTCTTAAGTACACAATGTGAAGCATTTTTGAGGGTTTTTATTTTAGGTTTGCATGATTAAGGTTTGGTATCATACTATTTAGCACAGAAACAGAGAAACAAATTGCCTTAGGGTGGATTAGTACTCTTCCAGTCAGACACTAGTTGAAGGCTCAAAGCGAGGGAACTGCAAGGCAGGGAGACATATCATTATAACTCTCTCTCCTCTTGCAGGCGGATTCCAAACTTATTCGCTTGATATTGGATGCGCATGGATTTACTGAAGTGGATAGCAACAGCACTTTTTTTAATCTGTACTGGGGAAATGCCCACTTCAACCCAAATGAGATCAGACAGTTGCAGGATTGGCAGAAAGTTAACCATTTTCCAAGGTCTGTTTGAAATGTTTTTTATTTCCTTTAATGGTTATGATAATTTTTTATACAATATTTATTAATATAATGACCCATTGGATCGAGGTGCTCCTCAGCTCACACTTGAGTGGTGAATCTCTTGTGTGACCACTCTACATGAACACTTGTGCACTATCAAGTCTCCTTCCCATATCTTTCTTATGGTATTATCTCATATTCTGCAGATGCATTTTTTGCTGTTTTGCCATTTTCCGAGGTCTATATTTGTCCTTTGTTGTATCAAGATGGCAATAGACTGTTTCCATGTTTTTGTGGAACAGCTGCCAGATTCTCTCCAGGTAGTCTAAGATTCTGTGCAACAACAAAAACAACATGTAACAAAGTGTTACTTATGTAATTTTAAAAATCCTTTCATAATTCAGTTTTTTGTAACAGACCCTGTGCTGCTCGTCACTGTAGGCAAGAATAGGTTCTTGTGCATAGAAATCATGTCCTTGCTAGAGCCAGTGCTCCTCCAGGCATAGATCACAAATTGTACATTCCTCCATCATTTACTGTCACACGCTATCCAGCCAATTGTTCTTGACAAAACATTCCAGTCACCCGGATCCATTGGGTTACTATATTGATAGTAATGTTGATAGTAGGAATGATAATCAGGACTATACTAATGATAAGGTCTCTCTCTCTCTCTCTCTCTCTCTCTCTCTCTCTCTCTCTCTCTCTCTCTCTCTCTTCTCTCTCTCTCTCTCTCTCTCTCTCTCTCTCTCTCTCTCTCTCTCTCTCCTCTCCCCCCTCTCCCCCTCTCTCTCCTTCCCTTCCTTCCTTCCTTCCTTCCTTCCTTCCTTCCTTTCTTCCTTTCTTCTTCCTTTCTTCCTTTCCCTCCATCCCTCCCTCCTTCCTTCCTTCCTTCCCATCATCATCATTATTATTGTTATCAGTGTCATTGCATCAGTATTATTAATTCATTATCATCATCTTTATCATCATCATTTATAAATAAAAAAATAATTGGAAACTGGAATACCTGCAGATCCTCAGAACTCACAAGAAAGGACCGACTTTACATGAACATCAAACGCATGCAGCGGCAGTTTGGGGTCAAGATCTTTGACTTCATCCCCACCAGTTTCATTCTACCCACTGAATACCGAGACTTCTGCGACACTCACCTCCGTGAAAGAGGAACCTGGATTGTAAAGCCTGTAGCATCATCACAGGGCAAGGGGATTTACCTGGTGAATCAGGTATTGAATGGGATTTGGTGGGATAGTTGTGTGTCCTTTTATAAATGTGTGTGTCTGTATCTCTGTCTGGCTGTCAGTTTGTCTGAATATCTATGTATTAATATTATATCATATGAATATCATTTACCACCTTTAGATATAGCATATTGAATGATTTAGCGAGATCTTTTATTTATTTTTTTTTTTCTTAATCAAATCTCAGGTTGACCAAGTCCCGGCAGACGAAACTTCCCTTGTGTGTAGATATATTGAATCACCACTACTCGTGGATGGTTACAAGTGTGATCTACGGCTTTATGTAGGTGTAACTTCATTGGATCCTCTAGTCGTTTACCTTTATGAGGAGGGACTGGTGAGGCTTGCAACTGTCAAATATCAGCATGGCAAGAACCTCTGGAATCCATGCATTCATCTAACAAATTACTCTGTCAACAAATTCCACTCCAATTATGTTCAGTGAGTATGGTAATGTGGTCACTATTACCCTCCAGTATAATGTTTTCAGTAGCTGTCTATGATTACTGTATGCATTTATCATACCAATATAAGGATAAAGATTTATTAACACTGCAAGTACACCACACAGGAATGAAGACCCTGAGGTGGATGACCGTGGCAACAAGTGGTCCCTGAGTGCCTTCTTGCGTCACCTCAAGAGCCAGGGTATAGACACGGGGGCAGTGATGCGCTCAGTTGAAGATGTGATCATCAAATCCCTCCTTGCAGCCTCTTACCAGATGAACACTGCAACAAATATGTTCGTTCCACACACTAGAAATTGCTTTGGTATGTTGATGGTCACTGTTTAGACTGTTAAAGGCTTTATCTGTGAATGCTTTGGATGTCATGGAGGTTTCTTTTGGAGATATCACTTTTAAGAGGAAGAATGAAATTTAAATCCACACACTAGAAATTGCTTTGGTATGTTGATGGTCGCTGTTTAGACTGTTAAAGGCTTTATCTGTTAATCCAAAAGGAAGTATGTTTTCATGATGATTAACTTTGGATATCTTTTGTGTAATCAGAAAGGAATTTGAGTATTTTTTAAGCTCTAGGTAAGTCTTAATGTTTCTTGATGCCTCTTTGCAGAGCTCTATGGATTTGACATCCTCATTGACAGCCAACTGAAACCATGGGTGTTGGAAGTCAACTTATCTCCGTCTCTCAACATTGATCAGCCTTTAGACTTGAAAATCAAGTCAGCCATGTTAGCAGACCTCTTTTCTCTTGTTGGCATCCAAGTCTGCAATCCTTATACAGCCAAAGTTTCTTCGCGTCCCTCTATTTTCCGCAAATTGCCGTCCTTGGTGAGTGTATAAATGAGATGATAATATATTTTTATAACCAGAATTGATGTTTGGTATATTTCTCAGCTGCCACCATTTTTATTATTGAATATTGCCAGAAGAAGCAGTCAGAAGTAGGTGTATATCAATGTAGCTACTATTGGTTTATCCTGAAAAATTGCTCAAGATTTATGTACTTTCTGTGTGATACATAGCCATTCCTTCCAAAAGTCTTTTGCTTAGGTGTGTATAATATTGCATTAGGAAATGGCTTCTTTAAATGACTAGAGGTAGGTACTAAGTCAAACTCCCCGCTCAGAGTTCGAATGAAGAGTTGATACGTTGGGCTGAGACCCGTGAGTATCCCAGTGCCATGGAGATGGCACAGTCAATGTGCCGATGGACCAGTGACACACTGGATGGTCTCAGAATGGCTGCCTCAATCATGGGTGACCAACTACACACAGTAACTAATTGTTCATGATTGACTTTTCTTTCGGTATGAGTGCCATGCCATTACAAGTTTCCAAATATTTTACATTGCTGGGTCCGGAGCTGGACCAGTAAGTATGGATATCTGTCATGGGTCCTGGCATCCAGTGGCTCTTCATTCTCTCTCGACATTTGTCTCAATTTGCTCTTCTTGCCTTGTACAGATCACATCACTTGTCACACCTATTGACTGGTTTCTATTACCAATACTTCTTGGTCTTGACAGTAACAAAGATATGAGGTGTATTTTGGCAAGGCTGTGAGTAGTGCAGTAATAATATGATGGCAAGTTGTTCAGAAGCCTTATATATGAGTTTATATGGTAAAAAGGTTGTTGGAGATTGCTTGCTTTATAGTTATATTGCCTGAAAAGATAGATCTTTGTAATGAATGTATTTATTTTAGGGGGGAAGTAAACTTGAATACTGTTTCAGGCATTTTCAGGATTATCTATAGAATTATGATCAGACACATAAGACAGAAAGCATTCTTAGTAGCTGAAAACAGGAATATGACATGTATTATTTACTTTTCCAAGAATTATTCCTTTTCGATAGAAGGTCTGGTTTATACTTGCCTTCGCATGACTACTTCAGATTTATACTGTGTGGTGTGATTATATTATATGTAACAGATAACAGCCATTCTGTTATTTAAACATAAATTTTCTTTTCAATCCTACCATGAACAAGCTCGGCCTCAGGGTAAGCCAGACTGTAACTTGGTTTATCCTTCGTAGGTTTGTATCCCTTATTCCAAGAAGTAAAGAAGAAAAAAAATAAGTGTTAATATGCATAAATAGATCAATTTATTCATGTCAGGGGAACTGTTAGTCCATTTGAAAGCCTTATTAAGATTAGGCCATGCCAAGATGCACCTTTTCCCAAAAGAAAGCGAAGTGAAGGCTCCTCTTTCTCAGCCCTAGTCGCTATCATTTAACTTTTTTTTCTTTTTTCCTTCATTTTTTCCTTGATGCCTTGTAGTTCTATGTCTCAGGCACTGGACACTGATTGTGTTATGATTATGCTGATCTGCAATGTGTGTGCAGAATTTATCAAAGTGGAAGTATTCTCTCTCTCTCTCTCTCTCTCTCTCTCTCTCTCTCTCTCTCTCTCTCTCTCTCTCTCTCTCTCTCTCTCTCTCTCTCTCTCTCTCTCTCTCTTCTCTCTCTCTCTCTCTCTCTCTCCTCTCTTTCCTCTCTCTCTCTCTCTCTCTCTCTCTCTCCCTCTTCTCTCTCTCTCCCTCTTTCCTCTCTCTTTCCTCTCTCTCTCTCTCTTCCTCTCTCTCTCTCTTTCCCTCTTTCTCTCTCTCTTTCCCTCTTTCTCTCTCTCTTCCCTCTTTCTCTCTCTCTTTCTCTCTCTCTTTCTCTTTCTCTCTCTCTCTCTTTCCCTCTTCTCTCTCTCTTTCCCCTCTCTTCTCTCTCTCTTTCCCTTCTCTCTTCCCTCTCTCTCTCTCCTCTCTCTCTCTCTCTCTCTCTCTCTTCTCTCTCTCTTTCTCCTCTTCTCTCCTCTCTCTCTCCTCTCTCTCTCCCTCTCTCTCTCTCTCTCTCTCTCTCTCTCTCTCTCTCTCTCTTCTCTCTCTTCTCTCTCTCTCTCTCTCCTCTCTCTCTCTCTCTCTCCTCTCTCTCTCTCTCTCTCTCTCTCTCTCTCTCTCTCTCTCTCTCTCTCTCTCTCTCTCTCTCTCTCTCTCTCTCTCTCTCTCTCTCTCTCTCTCTCTCTCTCTCTCTCTCTCTCTCTCTCTCTCTCTCTCTCTCTCTCTCTCTCTCTCTCTCTCTCTCTCTCCTCTCTCTCTCTCTCACTCTCTCTCACTCTCTCACTCTCTCTCACTCTCTCTCTCTCTCTCTCTCTCTCTCTCTCTCTCTCTCTCTCTCTCTCTCTCCTCTCTCTCTCTCTCTCTCTCTCTCTCTCTCTCTCTCTCTCTCTCTCTCCTCTCTCTCTCTCTCTCTCTCTCATTCAGTCTCTCTATGCCCACGCTGAAGCTGTTCAGTTTTCTTTATAGTTTGGCAATCATTGGCTTTTGAACTTAATCAGGAACTATGTGCCAATAAGAATAAAAATTTCCTCTTATTCCATGGGTGCTGTGCATACGTACTAAATATACTCTATGTCATGTTCATAGAGGTGTTTGTTTCTTTGTACTCGTATGATAAAAAAGATCCTTATGGACCCTAGAGTTTATGTCTCTTGGGCTTCTCTTAATCTTGATAAAGTTATTTGTTTTATTCTTCTCTTCTCGAGAGTATTTTTCTATTAGATGAATTAGAAGCCTCATTTTGACGATATGAGGATTGTACGTGCTTGTACAATTTTTCTTGTTACCTTTCATTTATTGTGTGTGTTTTTTCCTGTGATTGTAATTGTCACATGTAACTAAACATACTTACCTACTGGATGTTGAATTAATTAACTGAAGAGTTACAGTACTGTACATACTCTTCCTTGTATATTTGACTTTATATTTCTATATCTAGAATAAGTAAATTTGTATATGGTGTTATTGTTGTCAGTACCTTTGCATTATTTTTTTATCAGTGCATTTGCATTTCTTAAATGTTTGTTGCATGTTATGTTAGCAGGGTTTTTGTTAGAAAAGTAATTGGATCTTTGTTTAAAGTGGGGGGGGGATGGGTGTCACAATTATTAATCACTCTAAAAGTAAATTATAGCCTTTCATGATGGTTTCCAAATTCAGGCGTCTGCTTTCTTAGTCAACGATTAATCATATACCTGTATGGGATTTAGTAAAAATATTCTGCTTTACTTCCAGATGTCGTACTGTACATTTTTGTAATTTATTTTTTTCCAGTTGATTAAGATAACATAATTTAACCCTCCTAGCAGAAACCCTATTTAGTTCTTGTGCAAAGTGCCGACGAGGTAGTACGATTAGTGTTCCACAAGGAAAGTTTTAGGGAGCATTCAAGGTGCTTATGATTGACTTTTATATACATCAGTTTTAAAACAGATTTTTTACAACTTGATTAAATTCAGTTTTGGAATGATCAGATCAATTATGAATAATTTTTTTATCATAAGTCTGTGTAAGTAATTGAGAAACTATATTTAGATGTAGTGTTTCCCAATTTTATTTGAAGAATTCACTATTTGTTAATATTATTCCTAAAATTCTTAGTTAATGAAAACATTTATTGTGTCCTTGAGGAAGCATCACAAAAATCATAATGATAAATTTTTAAAAATTACTTGTGACATTTTTGCAGGGTTCCCAGGCAACCTCAAAAAGTCCAGAAATTTTTTTTATAATTTTTTTTTAGAAAATTAAGGCTTTAAAAAGTCCTTTTTTTTTTTTTTTTTTTTTTTTTTTTTTTTTTTTTTAGAAAATGATAAATTTAAAAAAATTACTTGTGACATTTTTGCAGGGTTCCCAGGCAACCTTAAAAAGTCCTGAAATTTCTGAAATATTTTTTTTTTGAAAATTATGGCCTTAAAAAGTCTTAAACATTAAGCTTTTTCTGTTGCAGGTCTTAAATGTCTTAAAATTGCATAAGGCATATCTTTGTTTGCGTAGATACACATATTGTCAATGGCGGATGCTGTCGAGATTCACTCGCTTGCGGATCTCTACGCTGTTTGATAAGAAATAATTTGTCAACATTAGACCTTGACCTTTCCTGATCGAGGCGACCGATTACTTAAGGGCCATGTGGGGGGAGGAAAAAACTACTGGCATTCAATCTGTCGGAGAGACTGTATAAAAATCATGTTGGGATGATTTTTTTATGGTCACTGACACGACAAGTAGGCCTATACATTATAGGAAATTGATTATTCAGCAGCAAGTGGCACCAGGTCTTAAAAAGCAATTGGTATGAGTTAGAAAATTAGGTCGTCTTAGAAAATTAGGTCGTCTTAGATTTCATCAGCTTATGCCTGCAACAACCCTGATTTAGTCCTTTTGCTTGACAAGATAGCTTGATAGATCATTTAGAAATATCTTTAACTTGATAGGTCATTCAGTAATACATTTAAAACCCACTAGGGTTGATAATATAGTAACATGTTTAAGAAGTTTATTAACAGAGCTATATCCAATATTTGATGATTGGGAAGATATCCACAAACACACATACACACAAGACAAATGTAATACCTCTTATGAAATTGAACATACAATTTTCCCATTCTGTGTGTGCAGTAGATATTTAACTCCGTTATGAAACATGGTTATAAAGCCAGATGTTTAACCATCTCCATTTTACCAGAATGAAAAGAAAAAGATGATTGATTAATAAAAAGAGGGTTTTCTAGACACTCTCTTAGATATGGAACTTGTTGAAAAGACGCGTTGAATGACGTGCTAATACCACTTTTCATCAATGGATTTATAGAGCATGAATAATTTTTGCATTAGAGTCGATGATATTTTCACATTCTTTTATTTTTGTGTAGCTTTACTGAAGTTTTTTTAATGTTTAATGATTAGTAGGACTAGATGTTTAGCTCTAGTTTTTGCTACATGTATTTTCTCAAAGTTTGGTCGACTGATTTTACTTACAGAAAAACGTTTGTCATGTCCATCAGCCAATTTTACAAAATGAGAAATAGTGGGGAAAAGTTGTGGTGGTTGATTGTTGAAATATTACCTCAAAATTATGATTGTAATATGGACAGTCACACTGCTCAGTGCAACAGTTTCTCTTCATTTCATTTAGATATTTGTAATGTTTCTGATTTTGAGTATTTTGAATGTATTTTGTTTTAATTATTTTTGAAAACAATTGCTCTGAAATAGAAATTTCTATGCTGAGATTGGGTAGACTTCAGAAAGAAGTGGCATTCTGATTGTTACAGAAAAATAGCATAGGAATGCAGAGTGTTTATTGCAATTTTACAAGTATTTCAATACAGAAGCTAGAGTTTTTTTACTTATCGTGCTCTTGTCTTATGTACAATATTTTTGTACTTTTTATGTTTGATATTAATATTTAATGATAAAGATGTAAAAGATGTAAGAAATGTGTTGAAAAACATATTTGTAATGATATTGTTGCCTTAACATGAAGATTCACATCAATCTTCTCAAATCAAGATTTTAGGTTCAGAGAGGGATTCATACTATCACCGCTGAAATTACAAATCAAAGGAAAGTATTTGTTGGATGAAAGTTCATGTGAATGTATTTACCCTAAATGGTCTGTATGTACAAAGCTATATACTTGCATAATTTTGATTATGCAGAGGTCACAGATATCAGATTGCTGCACAGGTTTTGACTGATAAGTGATACCAGATAATCCCATGTACTTGTTTTGGGTGTTTCTGGAAGTTTTTTATAATAAGTAACACTCAGGAACAAGTCCTCTTAACCTGACCTTTTGAGGGTTAAACAGAAACTAGCACAAGGGACAGAATAGTATTACATAAAGGATTTATTTAGTTAGATATGATCTGCACGTTCTTTGTCTTCTCTGTGTATTTTTTATGTTTAAGTCTTTCGTTCTGCTTTTTTAAAATTAGATTTCATACATGTTTCCTCAAAGGCATGAGAGTGATTACGATACTTCAACAGTTGGCTCAGGTCATGTCAAAGACTTCATTTATGCTCTTCAGATATGTTTTGAATTTATGAATTGTATTTAAGGCTTGGCATTTATTCATTTATTTTTATTACTGTTACTTTATTACCGTCAGTGCTTATGGCTTTGTTATACAGCAGTATTGCTGAAGAGGTTTCATCAGATTTTATAAGAATGTACAATAAAGGTAGCTTTATGCATCCAATTTTCATTTATTATAAACCTAATATGACATATTAGAGTCATCTTTATATATTGTCTTTTTCTTTTAGCGTTACTCCACGGATGTGTATGAGAGGAACCAGTATGGTCGAAACACTCCGATAGTGCCAACTGCCGAGGAACTGCGCATTGTACGCCAGGTTCGTGAAGAATATGAACGACGGGGTGGATGGGCACGGATATACCCTTCTCCTGATTCCTGGGCCCTCTATGGGGGTTTGCAGGAATATGATAGTCCACTCAACTTGATCCTGCACTACCACCTGTATCCTCAGATCCAGCGGACAAATAGGTCAGTTGTGATTGTGCTCTCGAGGGTTCAAGGATAATATCCCCTAACAACAAGCAAAGGAACTTGGATTTCAAGTGTGGAATGTTAAGAATGGGGATAAATTCTGTTCAGCAACTTCAGAAAATGAGTTTAGATGTAGGGAATGAAGACCTTGGGACTCACACCATAGCTTTTGTTCTCATTCAGGCATTGGAACACATTTTTTATATATACTTAGGGTGAGTTATGATACTCTGTCAGGTAATTTAACACAGTTTTCACAATTTTCTCCATTCTTGCTTGTAACAGAGACTCACATTTCAGGAAAGAAATAATGATAATAATTTAAATAGCTAGATTAGGTTTCTAACCCAGCCCAGCTTTTAACACTGTGGTGGTGCAATGTTGACGCTTCAGATACAGCCGTGTGGCGCCTGGCAGAGTGTCCGGTGTGTCTAGTAGCGGGTTAGCATCATCCCTTGAGCGGCTAAGCTGTTATGAACGGGGTTTACCCAAGGGCCTCTCATTCTTCAAGAACAAGAAAAACCTGGGTAGGCAATATTACTTTCAGCACTTCACAGAACTAATTTCTGCATTACATGTAGCAGTATACAAGTTTTTGATGCTGGAGTTTTGAGGCAAATTAATTTACATAGACTAGGAAGTACTACCACAAGATTAATGAAGCAGTGGGTATTCTGCTGTTGATTTTGTTCTATATAAAACATTGTTTTTAGATGAATAATCTTTTCAAGCAGCACACACACTGCATTTATGTTCCATGTGTATTGTTTGTAGATATATATGTGCTTTACTGTATTTGCAGCTAAAATTAAATTTAATGAATACTTTGTAGGTTCACACAAGAAAGAGGACAAGTCACTCTGTCGCGACATGAAGCAAGTCAAGGCTAACATCATGAAAGCTTTGGAGAATGGACTTGCCCTCAGGTAAGGACATTTGTGAGTTTTCTGATGATTATTCACCTAATTTTTAAATAATTCAAAGATTTCCCACATTTTGTAATAATGGAAGTTTTTAATTATTATTATTTTTGTTTTCTCAATAGCAAGTACCAGGCACGCATGGCATTTTCTGTATACCTACAACATGTTCAGCGTCGACTGATGATAGGTTGCGATGAAGAAAAGCAGACGGATCTTGTGTATCGTTTTCTGAAGTCAGCAACGCGCACTCTTCATGCTCCTCTGAATATTCAGGTGTGAATTTCTTTATTTACTATTATTATTATGTGTTTACTTATTTATTTGTATATATATTTTTTTTATTTATTTTTTTATGGCTCCACAAGTGCTTAATTACCAAGGAGTCAATTGCTAGTCCTACTAGCATTAAAAAAAAAAAAAAAAAAAATCCAAAAAGTTTAATCTACAGAGATGGGCTAAAAGTCGTTCTTCAGCTCCTCTCCCAGTTAGAGAAAGCAGCACTCAGATTGTCCTTCTGGAGTGTGTAGTGTGTGCTCCTTGGTTGGCTCGCTAGCCTTGGAAAGTTTCATCTCACTCTTGCAGGCAGTTTATGGAGTATTGCTACTTCTGTTTGTGACACTTCAGAAACATGAGTATGTTTGAAGGTTTATTGTAGCGATATAGTATGTCCTATGAAGGATATTATTTTCTTATATTGTAGTCTATACTCCATTTTAGGAATGTTTGTACCATCTCAGTGTACAAAGTCAGTAGTATGTCTTCAAGAGAGAACAGTAACACTACAATACATTTCTTTCTTTCTTTCTTTTTCAGTGAAACTAAAGAATAACAAAAAAAATAGAATATATGCATATATACAGTACTGCTCCTCTCTCCTTTCATCTATGGTAGTCCTTGAAGCAAGGATCAGAGGAACACATTACAGGTTCTGCACATCACCCTGGTCTCCTTCCTCCGGCTGTTCCTCCAGCAGAGACCACATTGCCTCACACCAGAACAGTGGAGTGTCCAATGGCATGTGCGTCTGCTGGGCATTCACTTCCTAAAGTCGTGGTTCTTGAGGAGGAACACGCTCTAAGGATCCAGGATGTCTGCCATGGTGCAGCTTTCCTCGCACCAACTTCCTCCTGAAGTTGGTTTGCATAAGCATGCCACTGATGGCTCAATGGACAGCCAGTACATTGATGACCTTCATATCTAGTAGATAGAAGGAAATCTTCTGCCACTTGATGGTTTTTCTGGCTGCTGGATACGACTACCCTAGTATGCTGCTGTTGTAGGAAACAACAGCTTTGGGCTGTGACCTCTCTACCCCTCAATGGTTGGGAAGTAGGGTTACGACTTTGCTGTTGGGCAGTCGAAAGCATCATCACTAGATGTTTGAAGGCAGAGCATTGTCGTTGGTGTATCATGGAAATCAAGGTCTCCCTGGCTCGCCTGCAGGTCCAATGGCATCCCTTTCTTGTTGGTACAGACCATACCAACAGCGCTGGTATTCTGGGCCTGCAAGTAGTGGAAGAGAGTCGGAGAGGAATACCAGTTGTCTGTGTGGAACACACATCCCTTGTTGAGCAGCTCTGCCTTCTCCATCAGGTCAATGATGGCCATAGTGCTTATGGGGAACTCCCTGCAATCCTGCCCCAGGTAGATCTGTGTACCCTGTCTCAGGACCATCAGATGAACAGAGCTTGTAGCACTCTCCAAGTGCCTCAAGGATTGGTCTTGGCACCGATTTCAATAACTTTTTTCATCAATATTTTAGGGTGAAATAGAAGCCAGGTGTTTATCTGAATGTTTGCAGACAATGCAAAAATACAAAAAAGGATAATAGACAATGTCTCATGCCAATGCCTCCAAAGTACATCGAGAATGTGGAGTTGTACTTGGAAAATAGAATTCAACACCAATAAATACTTTGTAGTCAGATTCAAAGGAAGTATAAATCATCCACTATTTAACTATAAATTAGGAGACATGATATTAAACACAACAGATAGGGAAAATGACCTTGGGGTAATCATAAACAGGAACCTAAGCCCAAATGATCATATAAATGAAAAGGTTCATAAAATGCTAGGACTGATTGCCAACATAAAGAGGGCATTCGTGTATGTGGACGATGATATGGTTAAGAAGATTAGAGTACGTGCAGTGGTATAGAGCCCATACTTAACCCGTTCACTCCGTTAGTCTAAAAAGGGTCTTGCCAGTGAGCTGTAAATTTGTTTGTGTTGTCCTGAATGTCTCAATAATACAGTTTCTGCCTGCCTGTGATGTAGAATCTGCCAATGATAGTTCCTGCATGTTTATGCAAAGATTGTCAAATATGAAATTGTTCAAAGATATTTGATATAAAATGTATGAGAACAAAGAATGAAACAGGTAGGGTGGAAGTGTACCCCCCTGTACAATCCCCCATCCCTGGTGGAGGGGTATAGTGTGAGGTAAAGGAATAGGGGGATATCAGAGGGGGAAACTGTGATGTAGAATCTGCCAATGATAGTTCCTCATCCTGGGTTTGGGGTGGGTCATATCTAGCTGATGTTCATGTTTGGTGGAAACAGATGGTGTGTAGAGCTACAGAGTCTAAAAATAGATGCTGTACAGAATACGGGATCACTCAGCAACGACTAAAATCAAATGGAATTATGATGCCAACATTGGTGTCACTGTATGTTTCACTGGCGCTCCATGATGCCGGCGTCGGTGTCATCGTATAAAACGGGTTAAAAAAGGATGTAGACAAACTGGAAAGTGTTCAAAGAGCAGCCACAAGATAGGGACCTACTCTATGAGATATGAGATATGAAGATAGACTACAGAAATTAGGACTTATTTCTTTGGAAGAGGATAAGGGGGACGTTATTATGCTGTTCAACTATGTTACAAATAGAGTGAAGTTAGACGAAGATGACTATAATTTTGAACACAAAAAGGATGTTTGGTAAGTTTTTCATGATAATATATATGTCAGTATGGGTGACTAAGGACTTGTGGAGCCTTCTATTTGCAAACAAAATCCATAATGGAAAATGACAGTAGTTAATATTATTAACCACTTAAAATGGATTAACTAAGCATAGGCTATCAGTGTAGGACAGGTATTTAACTGTGAAATATATATATTTTTTTCTTAACTTGATTTTTTTTTGCACAAATTACTGAATATTTTTTTATATTATTTCTCAATTTCTTCCTTTTATGTTACTCTTTGGCAGAATCCAAGTAAAAGCCTTCCATCAGAGGCTCGTGCTGTTGTCATCTCTAAACAGTTAGGTGACTTCATTCAGGCTTACACCAAGGAGACGCACATATACTTGGATCAAGGGGCATCCTCGTCTTGCTCCTCCCTATCCTCCCAGTGCCCGACCTCAGTTGCTACTTCTTCGGAGCCATCCACGCCATATGTCACGTCTCCGCCATCCACTTCTACACTGTCCATTAACTCTCCAACTGCTGGATCCATGAGTGCCTCAACTTCATCCATCAACAATGCACCCCTCTCTGTCTCTGGCTCGACAACCTCTGTCAACACTCAGCCTCCTGGGGCTGACTCAGGTGCAGTAGCAGAGGCAACCAGCCCAGAGCACATCAAAAAGTCTGACTCCTCAGCCTCCATCACAAGTCCTCCCCCCGTCAGAAAGTCCCAGTCCTCCACTGTAGTTTCCTTCAGCTCGTCGTTAACTGCTGATAGTCCGCCACCTTTCTGTCTCGCTGGCTCTACGACTTCCATCAATAGCCCACCTTCCACTGCATGTTCAGCTTCATCTGCCTCTGTAGGCAGTCCGCCCTCAGTATCTGTTACTGGTTCTTCCACGTCCATCAATATCCCGTCTCCATCAAAGACCCCTTCTTCTGTGTCCATTTCATCTATCACTTCGGCAACAGATACAGGAGTTGAGATTTCTACATTACCTCCAAGAATAAGAAGGCTCAAATCAGATGGTGATACAGCTGTACCTCCTATTGGTAAGTATTCTTAAAAAGATGTGTACTTATACAATGCTTTAAAAGAGCATTGAAATCCAAAAGTTAATTATAAGGACATGGGAAATAATGCTGCACAGGGCTTTTAGTTTCAAGTATATTATATTTTTCCCAATTTTCATTCTTGTACTTGAGACCTTATTATTCCTGTTTTCTAAGATTGGAAATGGGGTTCTGTATTTTTTCCAATAGGTATTTCTGCTCTTTAGCTGTTTACTCAATCTAATGGAAAGTTCATATCACAAATATTTTGAAGTTTCAGAATAACATGGAAAGAGATGGGTGAAGTAAAAAACTTCTTTCTTACTAAGAAGAGAGATTTCTCAAAACAAAAAAGGAGCTGTAATTTTACCAATTTGATTGCGCAAGTTTCTATGTGCCCCTCAGATTCTTCTTGAGGGGCTGTCCATGCCATGTGTTACTTATACATCATGTGCAAATCACAAAATTACTGGTAACCAAAGTAAGGACAACTGAAAAGTTAGAATGACTGTTATCCTGATTGCAGCTGTAAGTGGTGTGAGGGATGTGTTTTATGAATCAATGTGTCACTTTTTCCTGGACATTCTAAAAATGTACAAGAAGTAGTTAGCTCAAAAGAATACAATAAAATTGGAAGTAAGGATAAAGATAGCTTTAGGACAAAGCTGTCTGAAATAAAGAGTATGACCAAATAACAAATAATGCAACATCTCCCATCCATCTCAACTCAATGACTATTCCTATATTTTTTCCGTAGAGGGACAAACCACTTTGTATATTAAAATGGGGTTGAAATTCTTCCTATTGCAGCTTTAAAAGCATAGAGCATATACTCTGTCCGTGTTAATTCAGTATTTTACAATGAAACCTACAGATAATGTAAATGGAAGTAGAATTCCTCAACTGAAGAAAACATTTGTGTGATAATAGACTGTCCTTTTAACCTTGGCCCCATCAACAAATTGTCTTGTGTGCATTACTGCAAGCTAGACCATTGGCAGCTCACACTAAGGCAACACCTGAAAATTTTACTTGTAATCATTAAGTAACCCTACCATGGTGTAGCCAGAATTTTCTGGTGTTTATGGCCGGCCCGCATGCTCGCTTGCTAGAGCGAGTCATGATGCGTAAACACACCATATGTCATCATGTAAATTCAGCTATAGTCATGCACATCACAAAGGGGCTGAAGTCTAAATTTGGCCTTGGTGTATATATTAAAGTTTTAGGGTTTATAAGGGGGGGAGGAGTATGGTGGTTTGAGGAATTGAAGTTTTAGGGATTAAAATCAGAATAAAAAAAGCATTTGGCTACATTATTATTTAAATTCTTTACTTTGCAGAAGGAAATGGTAGTACAATGTCAACTAGCATGGACTCAAGTGATATTCAGAAGCAGACCACTGAACAATCTCAGCTGCTGCAGCAGCAGCAGCAACAGCAACAGATTAAGGATGACCACATCACAATGGATTTATACAGAGCTTTCATGTCCAATGCAGGGTATGGAGTATTTTTGTTTTAACTTATACTTATCTATTTTAGGATTTTACCCCCAAAAAAGTATGAGGAAGTAAGTGATATGAAAATCACAAGTTAACAAGAACATATGTTTCCACAGAGAGTCTGATCTGGAAGAGGTGTTGGCACTGCAGACTCGTTTGCATAATTCTGCAGGGGTGTTTCTTGAGGCAACACGGAGGTCCCGTTACAGTGCCTCATCGCATTCAGTGTCCTCTCTTTCATCCACCCACACGCCAGCCTCATCCACAACTAGCTCAAGGCCACGCACTCCAAATGCTTCTCCTCATGGTTCACCTAGAAGAAGTCGGCGTTCTCCGTCTACAGGTACCATATTAAATCTCCCTCCTCTCTCTCTCTCTCTCTCTCACTCTCTCTCTCTCTCTCTCTCTCTCTCTCTCTCTCTCTCTCTCTCTCTCTCTCTCTCTCTCTCTCTCTCTCTCTTCTCTCTCTCTCTCTCTCTCTCCCTCTCTCTCTCTCTCTCCCTCCCTCCCTCTCCCTCCCCTCTCCCTCCCCTCTCCTCTCCCTCTCCCTCTCTCCCTCTCTCTCTCTCCTCTCCCCTCTCTCCCTTCCCTCTCTCCCTCTCCCTCTCTCCTCTCCTCTCCCTCTCTCTCTCTCCCTCTCTCCCTCTCTCCTCTCTCTCCCTCTCCTCTCCCTCTCCCCTCTCCCTCTCCCTCTCTCTCCTCTCCCTCTCCCTCTCTCTCTCTCTCTCTCTCTCTCTCTCTCTCTCTCTCTCTCTCTCTCTCTCTCTCTCTCTCTCTCTCTCTCTCTCTCTCTCTCTCTCTCTCTCTCTCTCTCTCCTCTCTTCTCTCTCTCTCTTTCTCTCTCTTTCTCTCTTCTCTCTCTCCTCTCTCTTCTCTCTCTCTCTTCTCTCTCTCTCTCTCTCTCTCTCTCTCTCTCTCTCTCTCTCTCTCTCTCTCTCTCTCTCTCTCTCTCTCTCTCTCTCTCTCTCTCTCTCTCTCTCTCTCTCTCTCTCCTCTCTCTCTCTCTCTCTCTCTCTCTCTCTCTCTCTCTCTCTCTCTCTCTCTCTCTCTCTCTCTCTCTCTCTCTCTCTCTCTCTCTCTCTCTCTCTCTCTCTCTCTCTCTCTCTCTCTCTCTCTCTCAAATGCTTAGAGATGATTTCTTTTTACTGAAGCATTGTCTGTCTTACTTTGTTAAACGAAGAATCAGTCAGAAACACAGGTGCATTGACCCTAACAAAACTCTGACCCAGCAGGAAGCCAGCTGAGACATCACGACCCAGTGACAAGTGAGCCCCAGCCCCAGCCCCAGCAGGATGAGCAGATGGCCAAGCAAACTCAGCCACTTGCCACAACTGCTACAGTAGCCTCCAGCACACCTTCAACCACATCCTCACATACTGCCACCTCCACTGCCTCCTCATGCTGTCTGTTCGGCAATATCCTCAAAGCCAGTCTGAAAGGGACGAATACTTCGTTTATTTCATGAAATTAGGAAGAGGTAGTGCTTAACTTGGTAATAGTGTGTCCTTAGATAGACTTTTAGGGTTTAACCCCCTATATATTTATTATTATTGATGTTGTTTATATAGGTAATATTATTGTTATTCTTGTAATGGTAATGAAGACATGATACTATTTTTTTTATTAGTATAATGATTATTATTGTTGTTTTTATTGTTATTATTATATTATTATTATATTATTATTATATTATTATTATTATTGTCATCATCATTATTATTATTATTTTATTTTTATTTTAAGCATTGTTATTGATATTAATGTTAGTATTAATATTGATATTACTATTAATAGGAATGTTGATTCTAATATCTTTAAGAATATTATTATGTTTATTAATATTATCACCTATTTCATGTTATTTACAGCTATCCATTTGCAGTTTGCAGATACTGTAACAAATAGCAAAGTGATATTACATTGATTAGTGGCTGTTTCAGCAGATTTAGATATGCATGAATTGAGAGCTTTAAGAAAGCATTTCAGATTCTTGATCATTCTTTGAGTGGTAGTGATGAAACACAGCAGTAAAGGCACGGACCACAGAGGGTAGTATCTGCCTATTGTCTGCAGCCCTTACTCATTGTTAGCCCTTGAAGACTGGAGAGAGAATTTGGGGATGTGCTATTATAGATAATCTTTCTGACTCCTCCTATTTCTCTCCTTCTTGCATCCTTTTGAGGGGAGTGAACCTCGTATTCTGAAAAAAAAAAATTCACTCGTAGTCACAGACTCTGTTGTGCAGCTAATGACATACCTACCAGCCACTTTGTGAAGGTGGCTCAGTGTTAAGTTATCTCAATTTTTATATTTACTACACAGTAAAGATTTGCCATTTGTAAAGCAAAAAGCGAAGACTGCCATTTTTGATTAGTGTTTAGAAGAAAATGGAGACGGCATTCAGTAGGCAAGTTGGATGAAATGTAACAGAGGAGGAGGTCCCTCTATTGTACACCATCTTGCATCTTATCCAAAGGGTTATTCAGGTTGATCATTGGAGCAGAAATACACTGATAACATCTGGTTTGTAAGCAGGAGCGGCAGATGCAGATACTACATTGCTCTGTTCAGTCTGTATTGCACTAAGGTATGATGGAAATTAAAGTGTTGCTTTATCATTATATACTTAATAAAGAGGCAATTATTGTCAAGATACTGGAAAAGGAAACATTTTTTAATGTGATTTTAAGGTAATGAATAAAATTTTATATCTTTAAAGTGTTCAGTCATATGGATTCACATTGTGCTGTGGCTTGTGAGATCCTCATGAAATTAGTTCACGAAAATGTAACTTTAATGGTTTTATCACATATAATTCACATAAGATGAACAGCTATTATGAAATTGTTATAAGTTACAGATGTTATAGCTGCATAATGTTTTCATTTTAGTGATGATTATTAGTAGGAAGGACATAAGTGGTAAATTTTATATATTAAGTTATGCAAGGAACTTTTAAATATTTGCTCTAGAAACATTTTGGGGAAACTTTGGTTTTCTTTGTTATTTATTTGAATTGAAATACAATTATTTTCAGCTGCAAGAACTTCATGGATTGAATTAGCATTAGCATGAGATTATTACTATAAGTTTTAAGATTTATTGTTGATGTTTATGATTTTGATAATCACACAAATTGTTTCACAGTTTGGGAATTACTTAACAAGAAGTTGGCATTTGGTATTCCGAGAAGCTTATTTTATATATGTAAATCATAATTATATACCTGCATAAGACAGATGTATATAATGTTTGGAAAGGCTTAAATTTCTATGCATGTAACATATTCTGGCCATCTGATTTGTTACGGAAGCCTCAGGTGTAACAAGATTTTCTGTATTGTTGCTAATGATACTCCAGAAGCCCTAAAGATAAGTGTTTTTTGGTGGCAAAGGATCTGTGAGACTTGCAGGTATTTTACTCTTCAGGAGTTAGCATGACAGTCCCATTAATAGATCTTTAGAGTTATCCATATTATTAAAAAGTTGATATAACTAAATAAACCAAACCATTGCACTGGTAATGTTTTGAATTATTTTTTTTTTTGTGGTTGGTCATCTTTTCATAAATTGTTATTCACTTGCATAATGCTGGAAAGAAAAAGTAAATGTATTCAGCATTGTGTTTATCTGGGATTATGAGAGACCATGAAAATCTACAAGTTCGTTCATTCTGTAGATTAGGTAATGAACACATCTACAGCCATTTTTATTCAGAAACAATATGAAATTGCTTTTGATGAATATGTATGATGTAACTTGTAATAGACTGTGAACTTTGTGCTTTTTTTTTTCTTTCATTACTTTTCTTTTCCTCTCTTGTTTCTGCGTGTGCTTTCCTAACAGTGTTCCTAACGAATTTTACTCCTAGATGTCTAAGTGATGAAAGACTGAATTAGATGCAAAGATATACATACAATACATTATGTTATTGTTATCACGTTTAGATTTGAAGAGCAGTGCAAGAATATATGAAAAAATGCATCAGAAATTTGGAGTCTGGTCACATGTGGACCTTTGTGCCATTTGTTTTCTTAAATTAAATTGTACAGCTTACTTATATTAAGTATTAGCTCACATGGAATGCCTTAATGTTTTTTTTTTTTTTTTTTAAGGTAAAGGAGAATTTTATGTATAAAAAAATTAGTTTATTTTGAATTATATTGATGTTTACCTTTCTTTCTGGAATGATTAATGTTTATGAGCTTTGAGGTTACTTGAAGCATAATGTAAAAAAAAAAAAAAGAAAGTGAAAAAGATTATTTTTAGATGTGTCGTACTGATAGTCCAGTTTTCAGTCATTTCTTTTAAACTATTTGTATAGTTCCCTCCAGCATTATGGAAATTTGAAGAAAAACATTATCTTGAAGTTGCTTCTTATTTTCTGTAAATTTCTGTTACATACTTTGCTACAAGTACCTCAATCAGTTCCACATTAAGGGGAGTTTGAAGAGTCCTCCCTCCATACATCGAGGCAATATTTTAGTTCAGGGAATTGCGGTAAAGTGACTTATTACTTCTGGTTATTTATACAAATAGTAATTTATATTGGAGAAAGTTTGGTGGCCCTTGAAAACTTGTTCTCTTCCCAAGCCAGTGCCAGCGGACGGAGTTAACAAGAATGAGAATGCAGTGTTGCATAAGTCCTGTTTTAATGAATGTTAGTTTTGAAGTCACTGTGCTTGTGATTGAAGGATCTTCAGATATTCCTGTGTTGTTGGGAAGTGGTTGGAGAATGTAATGCTTTACAACTCATATTCTTGTCTTTCTTTTGTAAATAATGCTATATGTCTATAATGTTATTTTTTAAGGCCATGCATATTATAGGAGGTCATATAGCATGAGACGGAACTCAGGAGGTACGCAATACAAGTTGACGAGGCATGGTTTGTGACTAATCTTGACTTTTTTCTTAATTTTTGTCTCATTATTATTGTCATCAGTATGATTTTTATTGTTATTGTTATTATTATAATTGGTATCTTTACTACTGATTGTTATTTATTTATTTTTTATTTTTTCATTTGTGAAGTGCTTATGAGACTGTCCAGTGGCTTCTGTGCCAAGGGCTATGTATACATTCTAAGAAATGTAAATATGCAATAATCATGTAAAACACAGGTACAAAATTTCTGAAGAATGATTGAATATAAGCTTGACAGTATCTCAGGTTTGTACATACTGTTTAATCTGTATGCTATAAGAAATTAAGATGTGAAATGCAACAAAAATGCAAAGGGATAAAATACATTATGAAGTTAGACTTGAGGAAATTTTGATCAACTGCCAGTAATGCAAGGACTGTTACTCTCGCCACCAGTGTGCTGCAGAAAGATGTTTTTTCCCCAGTTTATTTAGAGAAGGCTAGGTTCGAGAGTGAAATCAAAGAATTTAAAGATAAGGTCAGTAAAGTTCATTCCCTGATGTTATCCTGTTCCCTTGCCTGTGTCAGGATGTGTCTACTGCATAGCTATATAGACTTGTGTGTTGTTGAGGTTATAGTTCTTTTAGGTATGTTGAATGTGTTTTTGTCTTTCTTTGTTTTATTTATTTAATTTTTTTTTTTTTTTAAGATACTCTTATCTAGTTTTATTTCAGAAATTCCCTTCTTGCTATTGGCTGAATACAATAGCTTTAAGAATGCAGCTACCAAAGTCAGTGCAGCCTTTACTGTATCAAAATTAAATACATAGCATGGATTTTTGCAAACAATTGATATTGCTGTATTTTTTCTTGATTTCCTTTAGTCATAACATGTTGCTTAAGTTTGTTTAACCCTAATTCCTTATGGTTGCAACCAAAATTGAAATATTACAGATTTCTCTTTTAATCGGAGATTGATATTCATAGAGTATGGTAATAATGTTTGATTTTGCCAAAAAGTTCATTACTTTGTGTTTTTGCAGTTTAGAAATCTTTATATTTTTTTTATTGGAGAATTAGAGGATTCACTTGGAATATTACATATATGCTGAACTCAAAAGCCCAAATTATTTTTTTCCCGTTCCAAATTTTAGTACATGAAATAAAAAGATTTTGAGACGTTACATTTTATGTATAAAAGAACTTATATTATATACAATTACTTCTTTTTTTTATCTTTTTACATGTTTGCAAAGCTGGACTTTATCATAAATAGCAACTTGGCCAGAAGAACAATACTCACTCTGCCTTTTCTATCCAAGATTGTTTATAAGTGTTCAGGAAATTGTAACTGCACTAATTTTCTCAGTTTCATGTGACTGAGACCGATTTTGACATTTAGGAAAAGGAAATGAAACCTTTTACTTTTTTATCCTTGTTACATTTTGTCAGGAGAATCCAATTGCTCCAAATTTATATTTGATTACAGTAAACAGTAAAATGAAAACACATTTGTCTTCTGCAAATGTAGTACAGGACTAGGATACCTTTTATTGGACACTTGTTATCATGAAAAGTGATTACGTTTGTTATAGAATAAGGTATTTTGTTCTTGGCTGCCTGCTTTGGAGTTGATTGAACCAATTAAGAATATGATTGGTAGTAATCAAGGGATACTTAGTGCAATTTAGAAAAATGTTTACCTGTTGTTTGCCATAAGATCAAACGTGGCTACTTGTTAATAAGACACAAATGTTGCCTT